CGTGGTTGATTTGACGATAAGCCTTGTTCTATCATTGACGTCATGTCTTGAGATTCGAATGTGCGCTCGCAACTCTATGACGTGATATATTAGACGACGGTAGTTTTGATAGGGAAGTTCGTAGTAAGTTTTTCTATATAGAATGTAGCTTGGCTCCGCATATAAATGCCCTTCATACTTATTTCTCCCTGCAGTGTTCTATTGTACGGTAAATAACTCCCACTAGTCGTTTATTTCATAAATATACTATACCCCATACATACATTGATATAAGCATAATTGGATGAGTCAAATTTATAGTAACAACCAACATGATCACTCGACATATGCATATTCTTATTGATATGCATTTTCTATTGATAAAAGAGACAATAAACAATCACATAATTATAGGAAATCTCTATATCACGAGCACGCGTTCAGGAATCACTATCGACCAGTTGTACAAATGCATACAATACGGCACATGAACCGGATTCTCGGTAAAGTAATCCAGGTGTATCAGATCGCTTGAGATGAAACATTAACGTTATGTCCCTTCCGCTTGCATGTGTTCGAGTCTGGGGAATGCAAACCAGTGGTTGATAGTATAATGCTCATTTGTCGGTTCTTGTACCAACGGGACATCACAAGGGGGAGTTGTATTATGAGCACATGTGTTCATTTGACCGAACCTAGCGCATGTTATGGTGGTGTTTGATGTTTAACGCCGCACTCAGCAATATTCCAGCTATATGACGGCGGTCTGTAAATAATCGAGTCCTGACCAGACAATCCAGGGATTGACATCATGAGCATTGATCATCGCAATTTGGATACGATGACATGCATCAACCAAGTCAACGAACCTGACCACCCGATTCCGTTAGTCGCCTCTTACGACAAGCATAGTCGCCTTTTACAGCAAGCATGGGTTGCTAAAGACCTATTCTACCCCGGATCTTAACGGGTCCCGAGGGCATGGAATAACATCAGATTCATAAACGTTTATTCGCTGCGTCCCTTGGGCGTGCCTTAAACTATTATATCGGGATCATGTTTTATGGTTTGTCAGCACCATACCCGTGATGGTAGGTATCACAAAAGTGCTTAACGTCTAAGACATCTTGGAATATCTCAGATTTATTAAGCTACGAACATATACTAGTAAATTGAGGAGTAAGTAGGTCAAGCATGACGACCGTTCACTGCACCCACTGAACTCAAATTCGACTCATTCACCTCTGAAAGCTGACTTAAGAGGCATTCTTATGAATAAAATACCGTTCCCATTACAACGACCTGGTAGTATGAAGATGGCCCAGAGCAAAAATATCACATAAAATAACGTAGCCGGCTCTGTGTGTCTGGTGTGTATGTTGTCATGAAAATGACAAGATAATACCACACATGACAGCATAACTTCCTTTCGTGTTTATTTGCTACATGAATGAACAGTCCTAGCTTGGTTAGGTCCCAGAATACAAATGATTTCATTCAGCGGACAGTTCAAACAAACATATTTTTTTTATTCCAAATATTTTTTTATTACAATTTTAAAACAAGACTATAGAAAATATGACTGATGATATAAATAAGAAAACTTTCAGTAATCAATTGACTGGTTTTATTGTTTAATTTACGTGAATAAAATTTATATTTGTTTGCAATTTGGTATTACTGACAAACCATATGCTTGTCTGCTGAAACATATTCCATTGGGCGTAAAAGGCAAACTATTGGTGTAAATTACACGAACGGATCACTGAAAATCAGTGATGACTCCAGACAAACCAGCATAGGCAGGGACCTACGCTGTTGGGATCAGGGGACATGAACCAGGTCCCATACTTGGCGCATCCGATCCCCAATTCATTTGGCCTTACAGGCGTAAAATAGTGGAACCTAATCTTCCCCCGAGACACATAGTAATATAAAACAGACAGGTTGATTCGTCCTTGGTAAGTGTTCTCCCCTAAACAAAAGCTATATCATGACTCTGTCAACCTCGAGGTTTGCTGTTGTCGGAAAATGTGAATACTGCTGTTGTCAACAAACATGACAGGGGTGTACTGTTATTTATAATCTTGTCCACGTGGACTGCTTGAAGTTATCTATGGCTCTGACCACCATTTTCTCACTGTCACGCGGCTGCATAGATAATGGCATCAACAGTATCAAGTGTATATAAGCAATAAACATAAAGTTTCAGAAGGGTACAATTGGTACCCTGTTGTCCAAAACTCTTCTCATACTTGGACACATCGTAATGCTATTATAATACTATGTCATATTGAAATAATGTTCACTCACTATAAAGTCATAATGCTATACAATGCCATATGGAAATAATGTAGACTTACTATCAAGTCATAATGCTATGGTATGCCATCTTGTAATAATGTCGACCCACTATCAAGTCAAATTGCTATACGCCATGTTGTAATAATGTAGACTCACTATTAAGTCATAATGCTAGTATTTGCCATGTTGTGATAAAGTAGACTCATTATTGAGTCATAATGTTATGATCTGCAATTTTGCAATAATGTAGACCCACTATCGAGTCATAATGCTATATGCCATGTTGCAATAATGTAAACTCACTATTAAGTCATAATGCTATGGTATGCCATGTTGTAATAATGTCGACCCACTATCGAAGTCATAATGTTATGATAATTTTATTATGCAATAATGTAGACTCACTATTAAGTCATAATGCTATGGTATGCCATGTTGTAATAATGTCGACCCACTATCGAAGTCATAATGTTATGATATGCAATAATGTAGACTCACTATTAAGTCATAATGCTATTGTTTGCAATATTGTAATAATGTCGAGCAACTATCAGGTCATAATACTATTGTTTGCAATATTGTAATAATATCGACCAACTATCAGGTCATAATACTATTGTTTGCACTATTGTAATAATGTCGAGCAACTATCAGGTCATAATGCAATTGATTGCAATGTTGTAATAATGTCGACCAACTATCAGGTCATAATACTATTGTTTGCACTATTGTAATAATATCGACCAACTATCAGGTCATAATGCAATTGATTGCAATATTGTAATGATATCGACCAACTATCAGGTCATAATGCAATTGATTGCAATATTGTAATAATGTCGACCAACTATCCGGTCATAATGCAATTGTTTGCAATATTGTAATTATGTCGACCAACTATCAGGTCATTATACTATATGCCATGTTGTAATACTGTAGACTCACTGTTAAGTCATAATGTTGCAATGTTGTAATAATCAATGCTATGATATGCAATGTTGTAATAATGTGGACCCACTATCAAGTCATTATGCCATGATATGCCATGCTGTAATACTGTTTACCCACAAGCAAGTCATAATGCTATGATATGCAATGTTGTAATAATTGTTTCACCCACTATCAAGTCAAAATGCTATATGCAATATTGTAATAATGTTCACCCACTATCATGTCATAGTGGTGTTTAAGGCTGCATTATGCCTTGTTGTTATCATGTGGGAAAAGTAGCAAGTCATGTTTTATAGGGCTTCCGGCACGTGCATAGCCCAGGAGGTCATGTTGTCATAACCTGTTCGGGGGTGGACACATTTATCATTGGAAACCTCAATGTTCCTCCATACAGCGGCCTTAGTGTGACATTTCACGTTACGAGACAAGCTCTCCCTTCATTTCGGAGTAAGTAGTGTACATACAAGTGTGATAAAACCATGCATAGGTCAAGGTAGATTTGGTACAGCTTTAACAAGTGTCAAAATTATCTGTTTGGGGGCCTTAAGAAGCTGGCAGAGTGTGTTACGCCTAGTCATGATTTATGAGTTGATAATACGTTGCGATCGTTGAGTTCCATTGCGATTGCTTATTCCGGAGGAGTACGTGCAGAGTGACGAATTGATTCGGAAGTAAGTAGACAATAATTATTCATCTTTAGCAAGTTAAACCGTTTGATGTTATTTGTATTGTCGTAAGAGTAATCACTGACATGTATATAGGTCCGTGGTGTAATATATTGCACGGGCATTTAAAAATATTTTAATGAATAACAAATGAATTATTTTAAAAGTGTCTTACTTCGTATTTGTGTGGTTTGAGTTAGTTTGACTTTATATCAATTTATCGACCCAACTATATTTAATGGGATGTAACTGTATTTAAATGGACTTTTGATCTTACCGTCTTCTTATATGTTTTATAATCTTTCCGAATGGAGAAATACTACGCTTTTATCATACTTGCACAATTACTCTCACGGCCTAGGAGTTGTTATATATATTTCTGTACATGGTCTACTATGTTTGTAACTTTGCGAATATAGGACAGTGTGTCAGTCAAATTGACACCCTCGTGACAAAACGTATCAACACGTCAATCAGATATCTGAGTTTTTATCACATTTTTATTAGGCAAATATATCTTTTTAACTCAGTAACTCAGATATGCCTCAGTCGTTTTCCTCTTGATGACATTTTTTGTTTGTTGTGAAATTAATTAAAAAGTCATGCAACTTTGACAGAAATGTACTTTCATCCCCCCGGTATGTAACACAGGGGGATATACTTATCACTTTGCCTGTCCGTGCGTCCTTCCGTAATCATTTTTGTCCGGATTATAACTCTAAAAAATAGGTATTCTTTCATGACAATTTGCACACACAAATACCAGGTTGTCAACTAGTGCCTTTTGCTGTTTAGGGATATTTATTTTAGTTTTGCCGTTTCTATGGCAACAAGTTTGACTTTGCCCCTGTTCATATTGGTGTGTACTTGACTAAAATACAAAGTTCCAAATCCCAAATCCATGGTATTGTTTTGATAGCTCTAAAACTACTCTTGTATGCGGACAGACAGTTGAGATAGTAATACATTTATTGAGTTGGACTTACTGTAACAGTCAGATGATTTGTTCTTTCGATTTTGTGCGGGCCGGATGGATTAGACATCTTCTGATGACTCTTGTTTAAATTTCAAACTGTAAATCTATTTACGATTCCAATGATCCAAAACGTTATGTACACTTGGACTGGAAAGATGAATAACAGGTTCTTGTTTGTTTTCATAATTTGAAAATAATTTCTTCAGTCGTGTCAGACATCCCAGACATCGTGTACATACAAGTGTGATAAAACCATGCATAGGTCAAGGTAGATTTGGTACAGCTTTAACAAGAGTCAAAATTATCTGTTTGGGGGCCTTAAGAAGCTGGCAGAGTGTGTTTCGCCTAGTCATGATTTATGAGTTGATAATACGTTGCGATCGTTGAGTTCCATTGCGATTGCTTATTCCGGAGGAGTACGTGCAGAGTGACGAATTGATTCGGAAGTAAGTAGACAATAATTATTCATCTTTAGCAAGTTAAACCGATTGATGTTATTTGTATTGTCGTAAGAGTAATCACTGACTTGTATATAGGTCCGTGGTGGAATGATGAATAATAGGTTCTTATTTGTTTTCAAAATTTGAACATAATTTCAGTCGTGTCAGACATTCCAACTGACACGTAAGTAGAATATAATACACAACTTTGATAGTAAGATTTTATCATGGAGGTTGAAATAAACAACCGATTTGCTTTTTCTTTAAATTGAAATTATTTGTAAAATATTAATCAGAATATGATTTGAAATACACAAGAAGCCAAAAACCAGATTGAGCTAGAACTATGTGACACTTTCATGCTGATTATTTCTGAAGCAATATCGACAGCACAAAACTCATTCATTGTTTTGACAAGGGTTTATTTATAACATGATTTTTATCCCATACACGGCTTTATCCAATGTGGACATGGGTGCTCTGGTTGCCTGATGTGACGTATATAGTTGACTCTATAAATCGCGACTGTCTTGTGGATGGAATATTGCTGATTGCGGGTTTCACAGCAAACGCCGGTTGAGGTACTTTGGCCCATTTCAATAATTCACTTGAAATGCAATCATAGATTATCGTCCCTTGTTATTGTTGTATAATATTGGGTTTTTCTTCACCCTATAGCATTGATATTTTCACTCAGGCAATATCTACTTTGTCAGGTCATTAGGCGTTAACATACCACAACATCTCTCAACATGTCAGCATCTCAGAAATTAAACTATAGACATTCTCAAACGCACCCTAAGTGAGAATATATATATCTTCGATGTATATAGCATGTAACAATATCCCATGTGTCATTTCAAACACTGTGCACCACAATTCAGACACTGGCCTTTCAGTCAACCCGCAAATACGTACCTAACTTTCTGCTCACAAACTGGCAATCAACGGGCGTGGTGTGATTTGACTATCGCGTCTATCTTTTGACAACTGAGGAAGCAATTCGGTTGTTAAACCAGTGTCTTATGTTGGTTTTCTCAGAGTGAATGATTATAATAACCTCACAATCGACCAGCATGATAACAGTGAGGGTAAATACCATGTCAACCAGTACAGTGCAATTACATTGAATGAGAAAATGTTATGTTGGTTTAAGTCTGAAAAGGACTGGTGAGCAAAGGACTATATTTTCAAGATATTTAATACTTTCGAAGTAATTTCATCACAGAGAAAACACGATGGTAAGATGACATAACAATACAGGGGGAATATCAGGAAGGAATCAATAATACAAAGGAAACAATGATATAGAGAAAACACAATGATCGAGAGGGAACACAATGATAGAGAGGGAACACAATGATACAGAGGGAACATAATGATAGAGGGAAAACACAATGATAGTGAGCAAACAATGAAACAGAGGACATAATTATAGAGGGAAGAACTGGTAGAGAGGGAAGACAATGATACAGAGGGAACACAATGGTACAGAGGGTACACAATGATATAGAGGGAACACAGTGATACAGAGGGAATACAATGATAGAGACGGAAAATGGTACAGAGGGTACACAATGATATAGAGGGAACACAATGATATAGAGGGAACACAATGATACGGAGGGAACACAATGGTACAGAGGGAATACAATGATACGGAGGGAACACAATGATACAGAGGGAATACAATGATACAGAGGGAACACAATGATACAGAGGGAATGCAATGATAGAGAGGGAACAATGGTATAGAAGGAATACAATGATACAGGGGGAACACAATGATACGGAGGGAATACAATGATAGAGAGGGAATACAATGATACAGAGGGAACACAATGATACGGAATGTACACAATGATAGAGAGGGAACAATGGTACAGAGGGTACACCATGATATAGAGGGAATACAATGATAGAGAGGGAACAATGGTACAGAGGGTACGCAATGATACAGAGGGAATACAATGATATAGAGGGAGCAATGGTACAGAGGGTACACAATGGTATAGAGGGAATACAATGATACAGAGGGATACAATGATAGAGAGGGAACAATGGTACAGAGGGTACACAATGATACAGAGGGGACACAATGATACAGAGGGAATACAATGATAGAGAGGGAACAACGGTACAGAGGGAACAGAATGATAGAGAGGGAATACAATGATACAGGGTACACAATGATACAGAGGGAACACAATGATACAGAGGGTACACAATGATACAGAGGGAAGACAATGATACAGATGGAACACAATGATACAGAGGGAACACAATGATACAGAGGGAACACAATGATACAGAGGGAACACAATGATAGAGAGGTAACACAATGATACAGAGGGAACACAATGATACAGAGGGAACACAATGATAGAGAGGTAACACAATGATACAGAGGGAACACAATGACAGATAGGGAACACAATGATACAGAGGGAACACAATGATACAGAGGGAACACGATGATACAGAGGGAAGACAATGATACAGGGGGAACACAATGATACAGAGGGAACACAATGATACAGGGGGAACACAATGATACAGAGGGAATACAATGACAGATAGGGAACACAATGATACAGAGGGAACACAATGATACAGAGGGAACACAATGATACAGAGGGAACACAATGTTACAGATGACATTGAATGATTAAGGGGAACATTCAAATAGTGTTCAAGAAGTAATACCGCTTCTGCTGACTACTTTGAGTGTCCTGTTGGCTTACATCAAGGTTGTCTACTTAGCCCACTTTTATATTCGTGACACTCTTTATTAGAGGATCACCAGCTGAAGTGTTGTCGCATGTAGGTGTTTCTTTGAAACATATATCGTTAACGCTGATGATGTCATAGTTTGGGGGGGCACGGGTGGCCCAGTCGTCTAAGGCGCCGCGATTCGCTGTGCAGAGTTGCTTCCCTTGGGCACGCCAGAAACCTATGATTGTGGGTTCGAATCCCGGTTCGCCCCGATTATGTTTCTAGGTTTGTCAGCACCATACCCGTGCTCGTGGGTTGCACCGAAGTGGTAAACGTCTGAGACCTGCATCACTTCGGGCTTTCCTCCCACATTAAGCTGACACGCCGTGATATAACTGGAATATTGTTAAAAGCGGCGTTAAACCCAACTCACTCACTCACTCATAGTTTTGTCTCCGCTGCAGTGTCAGGGTCACCAAAACAGCGAAATCGTGTCCACAGTTAATTTAAAACGTCTGCAGAAACATATTATATTGTGCGCAAACTACTTCTAGGGTTAGGTTGCCAGATACCTAACGCTATTGTTCATGGTGAAAGTGATATCCAAATGCATATAATCTTTTGTTCTGAGCTCACAACAATTGGTTGAAATTTATTGAAATGTACGAAGGCCACTTTGCGAGAAAGGTATACAATATGCTATGTACCATAACAATAACAGTGACTAAACAAAGTAAAGTCACATCGGCAATATTTGAGCCATATCGTGTCTTTCGAAGGTTTAATACAATGAATACATGCAATCTATAAAAAACTGCCAACAACGGACAGTAAAATAACCAGACTTATCACAGATTATGATTTAAAACTAGCATGGAACCATAAAAAAACATCACTAAACAGAACAATACATTGTAAAAACGGGCTATATATCGCCAGCAACTGAAGGTAGACCATACTAGGGACCATGGGGACTTACAGTACTTAAGCTTCCTGCATGAACCCAAGCAGGATTTACATCATCCCTTCAGGTAAGGAAGAGAATATATGGATGTCAACTTCTTTATAATGAGGAACACAACGTTTCGGAGTATATGCTTACTCCATCTTCAGGTGAATGAATGCCATGAGGCAGAGAGCATATATATGTACATGTAAGGACAACAAAGTTAATAAGATAACAAAAGGTGGAAATTAACAAAGGGTAGAAACTGACAAGGGAAGCCAACAGATGATTGGCGCTGATAGGTGATTAGCAATAGACAATGGAAGCCAACACTTTACAGTAATTAGAGCTGATAGGTGTTGGCAATTATCTACAATATAGCCGAATTTTAAAAAAACCCACATATTCTGCGATTAAAACCGTGGCAGTAATAAATATACTGCGAATGTCATGGACTTATCTCCGGGAAACAATCCTATTACACTACTTCAACACCCTTAGAGGTACAGCCCCTAACAATCTTAGTTATCTAATTTATTCAATCAATATTAAAGATCCTTTATTAATTACAAAACAAAACAAGAGCTGATATTGTTCCATAGCAATAACAATGTTGTTGATAGCCATTATTCTTTTAATACTCCCATGCTGTTCGAGCACGCTTTTGGAGAGAAATATGCCTTTCATAGAATGTAGCCATAATCATTTTGTTCTTCATCACTATACTTTGGGGCATTAGTGACAAAACTGATGACCGATACAATTTCCTATTTGACGTGTACTATATGTTCCCTTGTTATTTAGGTGAAAAAATGACTTGTCTTTGCATGTGTTTGTGATGGGTGCCACCGATGGGACAGGATACGCTTGCCTTTTTGTCTATGATATTTGCTAGTGATCCATAAACACGTGCTTATCGGAATCGTATAAATGACTCTTGCGGAGATTCCGTATGATAATGGGGACAATTTTGTCACTTTTATAAAGAATTGAAGAGTGTATATGAGCCTGAAATATTTTACATTTATAACTGAGAAATATTTTTTACGATTTAGATCTAGTCTGTTTCAGTTAAAGATGAACAATGAGGAGATGGTTAACATTTGATCTGTCATTTTGATTCGTGGAACAGAAGATGCTACTGATACAGCACACAGCTATGATATGAAATGTATGCATATGATGCTTACATGGAAGACAGAGATAAAACCCATTCATATTAAATAATGCAACATCCTGTTATTGTACCACACTGTACAGATAGGTACATGGGCCTCATGCATACATATATCTGAAACAAACAGTCATAATTAATGTAGTGTAATGCTGTAGTAAGAATATATAAGATTTTATGCACTGCATGTATTGACCCATCTTTATAATGGTATATATACGACGTTTGTTTGATTTACGTATTGTCTGTTTGAGCTGCAGCTGTTGCACATCAGTGACCTGACACAGACTCACAATGCCTCCGAAAGGGTCACTCCTTGTTGATCAAAATGGCGGGCCAGAACATCTAGTCTGTTTCAGTTAAAGATGAACAATGAGGAGATGGTTAACATTTGATCTGTCATTTTGATTCGTGGAACAGAAGATGCTACTGATACAGCACACAGCTATGATATGAAATGTATGCATATGATGCTTACATGGAAGACAGAGATAAAACCCATTCATATTAAATAATGCAACATCCTGTTATTGTACCACACTGTACAGATAGGTACATGGGCCTCATGCATACATATATCTGAAACAAACAGTCATATTTAATGTAGTGTAATGCTGTAGTAAGAATATATAAGATTTTATGCACTGCATGTATTGACCCATCTTTATAATGGTATATATACGACGTTTGTTTGATTTACGTATTGTCTGTTTGAGCTGCAGCTGTTGCACATCAGTGACCTGACACAGACTCACAATGCCTCCGAAAGGGTCACTCCTTGTTGATCAAAATGGCGGGCCAGCACACGAGGCACCTTCTGGCATCTGGTCGTCCTGGCGAGAGACGTTGGTGGTTTCGGCATCGTTCATGTCAGCGTACACCGCCTACCTCGCCCTGCAGAGTCTACAGAGCAGTCTGAACCAGGAACAGGGACTAGGGGTGGTGTCGCTAGCCTGTCTGTACGGGACAATCATCCTTTCCGGCATCCTCACGCCGCCCTTCATACGTCTGGTGGGACCCAAGTGGACCCTGGTGGTAGCGTGGGTATGTCACAGTGTATACACAGCCAGCAACTTCTACCCCACATGGTCCACCCTCATCCCTGCATCCATCTTGCTCGGGGCTATAGCGGGACCTATGTGGACAGCTCAAGGATTATACATCACCACCAACGGGGAACGTATTGCCAAAACAACTGGACAGAAACTTCACAGCATCCTGTCCAAATTGAACGGTGTCTTCTTCATGTGTTACGAATCTACTCAAATAACAGGCAACCTGATCTCTTCTCTTGTTCTCAAGCAAGGTTCCTACACAGACACTAATGTAACACGATGGTGTGGAGCTGACAACTGCCCAACTGCCGGCAACGGTACGGAGATAGCTGAGCCAGAACCGCAAATAGTGTACATTCTGCTCGGAGTCTTCCTTGTGTGTGATGTTGTCGGGTTGGCTCTCACGGTGTTTCTTCTGCCGCCTCTTCATAACACACATGCAGAGGTCTCCATACCGGGGGAGAGTACGGAACAGCCAGGGTTGGGGAAGACACTCGTGTCGTGGTGCACAGCTCTGTCCGACCCCAAACTCCTTTGTTTAGTCCCATTCTTCCTGTCCTGTGCCATGAGTCAAGGCATTTTATTCGCCGATTTTACAAAGGTAAGAGTAAACAATGTATCCCATACTGTGCCTTTATCACTTAAAACTGATCACAAAATGTATTTCAACTATTTTAGTTTGCATATTTCATGAACGAGTCCCGAGCACTTCGAAATAGGGAGGTTTCAATGTATTTTATTGTTCCTGCTAAAAAACTTAAGAAACGCGTTTTTGAACAGAATTGCTAATTCCGGGTGCAATGGACGAATCCATTTCCACAGAGCAGGGGACTGAGGTGGTGTGTGACAAGGTGTACGTCGGAATCATGCTCGACGTGTTTCGTTTTTGCGCTACGCGCACTCAACACATGCACTGTAGTTGTTCACATAAATATTTTTTTTCATTTCGCTGAACAAAGGTGAGGTGAGGTGAAATTGGGTTTAACGTCGCGTCCAAGATTATTGCACTTATATAGCGACGTGCATGCACGTGTATGTGTGTGTGTGGCTGCTTGTACTAGTCCGGACTGATGCCGATTTATAGTGCTAGCTCACTGAGATACCATGCCGCAGGTTAACATGAATACCCCACTCAGACACAGTATACTGACTCCGAGCCGACCAGTCCTTGTTTTAGCCCCTTAATGCCGAGCGCCAGACAGGGTAACAACAAGTACAATCTTTTAACGTCTTTTTGTATGACGCGGCCCGGGATCGAACCCTGAACCTTCCGCTCTCCGGGCGGACGCTCTACAAGACCACGGAGGCGGTCTCGCTGAACAAAACTCAACTGTGCTTGTCAGTTGTATACACCTAGAATCACGTTACAACTGTCGGCCGGCCCCGTGTTCTAGTGGATAGAGCGGAAGGTCGGGGGCTCGATACCCGGCCGCGCCATATCAAAAGACGACAGAAGATGGCAATTGTTGTTACCCAGCCTGCCGCTGCCAAGGACTGATCGGCACGGAGTCTGAATTGGCAATTCATTAATACTTCGGCATTATAAAACCGGCCTTAGTCCGGACCAGTACAGGCGCACCCACGCACGCACGCACGCACGCACACGTCGTAATATAAGTGCACTATTCTTCTACACAACATTAAACCCCTTTCCATGTCACCTACAACTTTGTTTGTTTGTTTATTTGTTGTTTAACGCCGCAGTCATCAATATTCAAGCTATATGGCGGCGGTCTGTAAATAATCGAGTCTGGACGAGACAAGCCAGTAATTCACATCATTAGCATCGATCCACGCAATTGGGATCGATGACATGCATCAACCAAGTCAGCGAACCTGACCACCCGATCCCGTTAGTAGCCTCACACGACAAGCATAGTCGCCTTTTACAGCAAGAATGGGTTGCTGAAGACCTATTCTATCCCGGATCTTTACGGGTCTCACCTCCAACTGGAGACGTGGGGTAGCCTAGTGGTTAAAGCGTTCGCTATTCACGCCGAAGTCTCTGGTTCGATTTCCCACATGGGTACAATGCGTGAAGCCTATTTCTTGTGTCCCCAGTAGTGGTATTGCTCATTCACCCACAACTGTAGAATGTACAGTTGATCGGCAGAAAGTGAACACACATCCCACTGGCCTACGAGAACACCTTATCGACTTACGGATAAGGCAGATCCACTGGGTAGATTGCCATATCGTTATATTTCTTGAGTTTGTTTAGCACTAAATATTTACGCAGTGTCCACATGTCTCTTTTTTGTAGGCCTTCATCAGTTGTTCTCTTGGTGTCTCGATGGTTGGCTTCATCATGGCTGCGCACGGTGCTATCACTTCAGTTATTGCGATCGTATCCAGTCAAATAGCGAAGTACACTGGCCGATATGGGTTGTTTGCCATTGCTTTCACGTGTAACATATCAATGGTCCTGACGTTGCTTCTATGGAAACCAGACAGTGACAACATTGCACCTTTCTTCGCCATTCCGATAATATGGGGAGTAGCGGTCGGAATATTCCATGCCCAATTTAACTGTAAGTATACCGCATTTTCGAAATTTAAATTATTTTGTGAAAAGTAGCTCCTTTTAAAACGAATTCGGGTATAACGAATATGGTCTTTCAGCATTACTGTTAATGAGAATACCGAATTGTGAGTCATAATGATTTGTAGGGTCGTGGTAAACGTTATACAACTGAAATATTGTTCAAAGCGGCATTATAAAAGACCTACACTCACTATCTGATTCAGCTCTCGTTGGCATGCTATTCCCTGAGAAGAAACCATCAGCCTTCGCCAACTATCACACGTGGAACGCCATCGGTTACACCATTACTTTCGCCTACGGAGGTGTGCTGTGCGTGCGCACAAAGCTCTATGTGTGTCTCGGAGCGGTTGTGTTTGGTATTCTGGGATATACAGGAGCGGAAGTACTGTATGCGAGACAAACACGAGCCTCTCTTTCCCGAGGCATCACGCATCCTGGAGACACCGCAAATGAGAATGTAACTTTTCTAAGTTCTCACAAAAAACAAGGTGACTTTGTGAAAATATACAAATCAACAACCCAAGGTTAAGGAAAGGATAAATTTCAAATGAAGCACATAAGATTATTTGTCCTTTTCTTTATTGTAATTCCAGCGTTATGATTAGCTGAATTGGTCACGTGTTATTGCATTCATTTCCCAATGAATGTCAACAATTAAGCCACGCCCACCGAAGCGGACTACGTTCATCTCTACGGAACATAGGGGAATCCCAATTTCAGTCGAGGGACTCTTTCTGCTCTCGGGTATCATCATGAGGTTATCTGTCCTAGTAATTGTTTAGTTCCATTTTCGGTTTCAAACATACCATAAAACCAAAAATACCACCGTCTAACACACTCACTTCACAAATACCGGCATCGCCTCATCTCAGTTCCAAAGATTTTCATTTCTCAGCAAACTAATGTTGAAATCTGGCGGATACTGACCATGCCATTTGAAAGAGCCGCCTTCTCCCTGACCTTTTCATTCTGATTGGTAACAGCTGCAGTTCTTCTTCTCGCCTCTTGCCTTGATTGACAGGTCACATGAATTTGTTTGATGTTACTCTCCGTTGATTGGATACTATGTGGGCGTGCCAAGTTTTGTGCATATATTAAACAATCACCGGATTCATGTCACGATACAGTATGTTTTCCAATGCCTGGAATGTTTATCAAACTCCACATATGTGTCCTCTTTGATTTATTTAATTGTTATTGATTATATTATTGTTTATAACACATGTTTTCGTTGTCGAATAAATTAATTGATTATTAGGATTGACTTTTTTGGAATTTTTCTGTTATTTTTTACAGGAGGGTGTGTGTGGGTGGGTGTGTGGGTGTGTGTGTGTGGGTGTGTGTGTGTGGGGGGGGGGGGGGGGGGGGTGGGCATTGAGGCACGAATCGAGAAACTGATGTGCAAACTGTATGAATCCGCGTAGTATTCATATCCCAGTGAACCGAAAAATATGCAGTCAATCCTTGAAAATATAGATGGTCTGATCGTTTATATAGCCTTGTGCGTTAGATAATACTAAGCGTCTATCACATGTCTTTACATTACATATTTTTATATGTGCGTGCGTGTTTATTATTCAAGAAAGGTATAAGGTCTTTGAAAGGCATTAAGAAGTCATACACATAAGGAAGAGAATATATGAATGTCAACTTCTTTATTATCAGGAGCACAACGTTTCCCCATGAGCAACTTTGGTTTTCCATATTCGTGCTCGCGAGTGCGTGAGTTAGTGAGTTGGGTTTAACGCCGCTTTTAACAGTATTCCAGTTATATCACGGCGTGTCAGCTTTATGTGGGAGGAAAGCCCGAAGTGATGCAGGTCTCAGACGTTTACCTCTTCGGTGAAACCCACGAGCACGGGTATGGTGCTGACAAACCTAGAAACATAATCGGGGCGAACCGGGATTCGAACCCACAATCATAGGTTTCTGGCGTGCCCAAGGGACGCAACTCTGCACAGCGATTTGCGGCGCCTGCTTTTAAATGAGCGTGTAACATTGGTACTGCAAGTGTATTTTGTGAGATTTGATCGCTGTATGAAGCCAGTACATTCATAAAGCATGTGCTTAGAATTAATGCATGAGCATAAAATTTGCATTGCAGAAAGTAGGTCTGTTAACTATCAAGCTGTTACAGATAATCTAATGTTGATACAATAGAGTGACTTAAAGCTGTATTTTATTGTTATTGTATACAGTATTATGGTATCAGTCAAAAACATTGCCTGTGAAACAATGGCCTACACACTAACCCACTGACCTCCTTAGAAAGGCAGGTACTTGAGTACTCTCAAACTAAGCGATAGCGTTCCTTAACAACATACACAGGTTGAAGCTCCGTTCTAGTGAGATAACGAGTCCTCTCTTTGAAGGCAATAAATGTACTGGGTGGGATATGTATATATCAATCCATCTTATCTGCAGCTCACACTCGGTCGGGTCACCTCAACCCCATTTATCATCTCGGCACGAATTGAGAATTCAAGCCGAGATTGCGAATTCATGCTGAGGTGAGGTGAAATGGGGTTTAACGTCGCGTCCAAATTATTGCACTTATATAGCGACGTGCATGTACGTGTGTGTGTTTGTGTGGCTGCTTGTACTAGTCCGGACTGATGCCGATTTATAGTGCTAGCTCACTGAGATACCATGCTGCAGTTTAACATGAATACCCCACTCAGACACAGTATACCGACTCCGAGTCGACCAGTTCTTGTTTTAGCGCCTTAATGCCGAGCGCCAGACAGGGTAACAACAAGTACCATCTTTTAACGTCTTTTCGGGATCGAACCCCGGACCTTCCGCTCCCCGGGCGGACGCTCTACCACTACACCACGAAGGCGGTCCGAATTCATGCTGAAGCCCCCATGGGGATTATAAAAGGTCCACAGCAACCAACGTATGGTTTTAGTGAACCGTGACTAAATGGAGCGAGTGATACGGCTCGATCAAGTCAATTGTTCACCCACGAAAACTGGTCCAAGTCAATAGGGAATAGCATCGGACATCAGTTTTGTCGCTGATGCGTCAAATTTTGAAATGTCTTCCACTTGTCTACCAAACAACGTTTGGAAAGCTTTTCCTGAGGCCTGGAATGTTGTAACCTGGATCAAACAACTTCTGAGTAAGCGTTATATGACGCTCTTTGAAATCTTGGTAGAAAGAGCATGGTCGATTGTACCTCAAAAGTTGTGAAATGTAGATTCCAAGGGCTTGAGCTGAAGGAATATTGCTCGACATAAATGGAAAGTTGACCATTGAAAAGTTGAAGTCATCCCTCTTGTAATACAGTCTTGTGGAGATTGTTTTCTCACTCTTAAACTTTATGCACAGACCTAAATATGAAACAGATGACATTGTCTCACTGGTCTCCTTTATTTCAAGCTCAGGTGGTTAAATCAGTGGAAGGGAATTGGCTATTTGATGGTTATATAACGATATCAGATCATCGATATACCTGAAGCTCAAGTTCAACATCTTAGCCAAATTACCTTGTTTTGGCTTTGCCAATCCGAGCAGGAATTCTGACTCATATGTCTAAATGTCTTACCCCCCAATTTTACGTAGATGTCATTAATGAGGAAGTCAAGTATTTCACATATTGTTTTCTTAGTAAACTTCAGAGGCATGCAAGGCATAAGGAATGTAAACCTCAGAGGCATGCAAGGCATAAGGAATGTAAACCTCAGAGGCATGCAAGGCATAAGGAATGTAAACTTCAGAGGCATGTAAGGCATAAGGAATGTAAACTTTAGAGGCATGCGAGGCATAAGGAATGTAAACTCTAGAGGCATGTAAGGCATAAGGAATGTAAACCTCAGAGGCATGCAAGGCATAAGGAATGTAAACTTCAGAGGCATGTAAGGCATAAGGAATGTAAACTTCAGAGGCATGTAAGGCATAAGGAATGTAAACTTCAGAGGCATGTAAGGCATAAGGAATGTAAACTTCAGAGGCATGCAAGGCATAAGGAATGTAAACTTCAGAGGCATGTAAGGCATAAGGCATGTAACTGAAACCAACAAGATGTATTTGTAAATACAAATTCTAAGGTCAACGAGGATGTTTGAAGATATGTTAAGGCATGGTCACTCTACCAGCACCTTGGAATCAACTTCTAAGCGACATTACCTGTTTTGACTTTGCCAATCCGAGCAGGAATTCCGACTCATATGCATAAAGGAACAGAGCAGCAAGAATGCGAGCACAATTTGTGCACAACGGGGATGCCTACGTCTTGCCCAAATGACCAGCCCTCAAAATTCACATCCACAAATTGTCCTGAACCTTTTAAAATAAATATGTTACTGTATCGATGGTCTCCACGTTTAGTGCAAATACCCCTTGGATCAAGGAATGAAGTTTCAGATCAGCAATGTGAGACAAGAACACTTTTACAGAGACTTTGACCTTGAATCTTTTGTCTGATCATAAGAATAATGTGTATCAAGATATATCATAACATCACAATTTACTCAGGATTTCATAAAAGGCACCATCTACCAAATATCTCGTGTATTGTCACAATGCCTTTTACGAAAACGTATCTGTTGAAATATATGTCACCGGCCTTTGATAGGATTAGATATTGTAACCTATTGTGGACTTTCTACACGATTTCATGTCCTTTTATAGTTGTATTGACAGGTTTACTGTCACTCAAATACATATTTGCAATATTAAACATGTCACAGTACAGTGAGTGTGTGAATAGTTCGGTTTCCAATACTATATGGAATCTTATCCAGACAAAGCAGCATCATAAAGCATGAGCGGCGATCCACACCATCAACAGTTAAAAACACACAAGTAAGATTAATGTTAAATTCCTCGATGTGGAATTATGGACTTATGATTTGCAGCCTACGTAAGTTAACTAAACTTTTTCACCTTGAGATGAAGCTTTTCCGCTTGTTCAAAAATCCTTATCGTGTAGTTTATGTAAAGATCTTTCAAAACAAAGACCTTGTATGTATAGCCAAGCTAAGTCAAACATGTTATACCAACACCACATAAATACAATATATCCGGTGCAGTTAATCTGATCTGCCAGAGTTGAATTTTCAGTAGTATTAGCAGTAGTGTAAAGAATGAAAACAAATCATTCATCTTTTGAATTTCTTTCATATACAGGTACACTTTAAGCACAATGTTAAATCCAGGTTTGGGACTCCGGGTAACAGCTGGCTCCAAGGCATCTATATTTGTCACACCACTCGACTTTATGGATCGGGTGATCAAACTCGGTGACTTGATTAGGAGTCATTATACCCTGATGGCATGTGTCGTTGCTTAAATCATTCTCGCATTTGTCACTAATCGACGTCTTGATGTCATGCATTCGGTATTGCAATATCAGGTGTCCATAGTACATACCCCACTGGGGCAGCAGTGTCTTTAATTCCAGAAAAGTATGTTTCACTCCTAGCGAGGCCACCATCCAACCATGTAGCCTGTACATACTCCAGGAAAGACATGTTTGTTGAAGTTTTTGAAGGTGTACTCATGTAAACATGCCGCTATCACATCTCCTTGTGCAAATACAAAGCTACTGCAACGCACGCACACACACGCACGCACACACACACGCGTGCGTGCGTGCGTGCGTGCGTGTGTGTGTGTGTGTGCGTGTGTGTGTGCGTGTGAAGTCATGTCATGTATGGCCTGATGAGACGCGTGGACGGCCATGCATTGGGGACAAGTTCTATTCACTGACGAGTCTCGTTTTCACCTCAGCCACAGCGATGGACGGATTCGAGTGTACCGACGTCGAGGTGAACGTTACGTCAATCATTGTGTCATGGAAGGGGATCGGTTCGGGGGCGGCAACGTTATGGTATTGGGTGGGATTACAGCAAGACAGAGGACCCGTTTGATAGTGGTAGAGGGAAATCTCAATGGACAGCGCTGTCATCGGCCCTGTTGTTCTACCGTCTTTGCGTCGTCATGGCCCAGGCATAACCTTTCAACATGACAACGCCCGGCCAACGTTTAGGTCCCCGCATAACTGAATATGACAGTCTGCAACAATACTAGGGTTATCATACAACTACTGCTCTTACGTTATAATAACATAAGTTCCCTTGTAACACTATCATAGGTCGACACATAATGAGGAGCATATGCTACTAGCAGTAGGGGATCTTTATCTGTATTCACAATATACTTGGCAAACTACAGGCAAACTACATTTTTAATATCTATAGGAACACGCGTACACAAAGGCATGATTGACGTCTTAACGCAAACGCATATG